GTGGTGGTGGTGGGGTCCGCCCCGGGAGGGCCCTGAGGGCGACGGGAGGCCGGGCCGCGCCGCCTCCCCTCAAGCGCCTGCGTCGTTAAGGATGATCCCCAAGACGTCAGCGCGTCTTGGGAAAGAATCTGCTCTTTCCTGTTAGCCCACAGCCGGCCGCGGGGCCGGCGCGATGGCTGCGGAGGCACCCCGCTCGTTACCGCTGAGTAATGGCAGGGAGGAAGCTGCCCTGGGCAGGGGAGATCGTGCCGGAGCTCCCGCCGGGGGCTGCTCCGAAGCAGGGCTGAGGCTTGAACGCTGAGGTTGTATGTGCAGTCCCCTGCGGAGAGTTCAGGGTGCCCCTCGGCTCCCCGGCGGTGGGGCTGCGTGCCGAAAGCCCGCCGCGCGCAGTCCCATCGCCGTTTTCCACCAGGCAGAGAGCGCGGGGTTGGCTTTGGGGCCGGGGGGCTGCCCGCTGAACCCCCACCCTGGCAAGCCTGAGCACGACGGGGGGGGGAGAAGGGAGGACGGAGCGGTATGAAACAGTGCCTCGCTGTAACCTGAGCATCCTCCTTCCCCAGGGAACACGTAAATGCTGGGAAACTGGTGCGAGACTGGCGAGGCGAAGGTCCCATGGGACACAGAGGCCTGTCTCCATAGAACTCTTCGCTCACCTTCTCAGGGTGCTAACAGTGGGGCTTCCAGGATGCTTATTTCCCTGGTAAAAAAGCTATCTTTTTTTTTTTTAAATTCTGAGTGAGCGTCTCTTTTCTAGCGTATTTTGTTCTGCTTCAGCCTGGCTCAGCTTTCTGCCCGGCGGTTGAGCGAAGAGCAGCCCGGCTGGCAGTGCTGAGGTGGGGTCAGGGCTGCCGCTCCTGGCTGTCTCAAGCAGGTCGCATTAGTGCCGCCACAGGCAAAATCCTCCATTGCAGCCGTGCTGAACCACCACTCCGGGCTAATCAGGGGCTGACTTCCATCACAACCAGTGGAAAAACACCCTTAAAACAGGGCTGCACCTCGCGCGGGTCCCACGCTTTCCTCCTACAGGCCGCAAGGGCAACTGGAGCCAACCCTTGTCCCAGCCGTCCGCCCCGCATTCCCTCAGGGTAGTGCCGAGGGTGGTGATAAACAACCCTCCACGGAGGCTTCCTGAGTGGGAATAAGATGGAATCTGGTTGCTGTACTCGTTTTATTATTTCAGTTATTACAGGTAAGCGGCAAACGCCGCACAGAAGGCCAGAGCAAGGGCTGTCCTGGTGCCATTTACAATACGATGGAACCATGCATTTGCAGCCAGATTTGCTGCTAACTAGCACGTTTTCACCTGTGCTCTCCCAGCGCAGGGCACAGCAGGCTTCCTCCCCTTTCTTTGAGAAGAGGGAAGGGGAGAAGTTTACCTCAAAGTGGTGGGGAGTTCCGATGGGAGCACGTGACAGGGACAGGGCTGTGCCAAGTGAAGGAAGCAGGTTCAGCGAGTGAAACCCTTAACCGCGCAAGCACCACGCCTGAGGGAACCTGGCCAAGTGCCCGCAGCAGTTCAGAAACATGCTCCAAGCATCTCGGTCCCCGTATCGTGGCGGTCGTTAAGCAGCAAAGAGGTACAATCATGCCTTGGCAGACTAGTGCAGCTAGAGACGTGCACTGAGTTTGGCTGGATTTTATTCCTGTTCCTTGAGTCCCAAGCAAACCCAGTAGTGTAGAGCAGAGGTAGGACGTGGAGGAGGAAAGAATTTCATGTTACCAGAGAAGTGAACAGGTTGATCTCCTGGAGGACAAAGGCCATGCTCTGCTCAAGCACGCTCAGACCCTCTTGGCCTTACATCTAGCAACAAGGGTTGGATCCAGAACCAGCAGAGCACTCCTTATATCAAGTCCTACTAGAAGAGAAGCACAGATCTTGCCGGAGAAGCCGCCCTCCGGTACCCACTTCCACATCAGCACCATCAGCTTGTTTCAACACCCAGTTCAAGGAGTACAGACTAAAGCCCCATCCATCTTCCAGCTAAATAAGACTCTGTTGGCATCCCTCCACGCAGGAAGCAGTGCTGATGCCTGCGCAGCCAGCAGGACAGTTGTACCTCCAGTGACAGCTGAAACTCGTCGTCTCGTCTCCGATGTTGAGGAAAAGTAGTGGAGAGTTTTTTGCAGGACGGCCACTCTGGAGACCCAGCGGACAGCTGCCTACTAGTGAACAGTTCTTTCCTTCTGTCTCTGGTA